GGAGACAAACTTGGATGGGGCAGTTAGCAACCAGTGTTTACAAACATAAACTGGGGAGATCAGATGGGCCGGCCATAAATTATGACTGGATTGCAGTCAAGCAAGAGCCCCACTCAACATAAAAAGCAGGGAGGCTTTATATCCCGGCTTCGGTTTTAGTTCAATCTCTAAAAACAAAAATTGCATCACATGTGGGGCACTAAGAGCGACTGAAGCATGATGGAAAATATTCCATCTGACAAGTGAAATTGAATAACAAACACCTCTCCAACCATACAGCAAGCACACATGCTGAAGCACAGCCTTGTAATACGCGTCCCCTGGTCCAAAGCACACTTCCAAACAAGGCAGGGATTAGAAATAGGGTTTCAGTTGTTGGGGCTCTTTTAAGTGTGGATAGTATTTTTTAAACACATGCATACAGCAATGTCACCGTCACCCTTTTTCTGCTCCGATTCATTCTCCTTTTTCCAGCTTCATTAAGTAAAAACCTCACACATATCACACTACAGTTATTAATCGCTTGATCTCTCCCCACAATTTCTCCTAGCTGGCAGAAGGAGAAGGGAGATTCTTTTCCTCCTCCTCCTCCTCTTTCTTCTTCTAAAGCTTCTTTAGATCAAGCTGCTAAGTGCTGTTGGCTAATTTTAAAACTTCTAGCTTCAAAACGGAGCCCTAGGACTGGTTGCTGGGCAATGGTGCAAGGATTCTTTCCACTCCCGGATGCTGCAACCAGGGACTGGCTGACAACCCAAGAGGGAACCTGAGCCTTTGGTTTCCAATACTCTGGCAGACCTAATTTCTTAGGGCTTTGGTGATTACCCACCATCTTTCTTCCATCTCACAGACCACTAGATCACTATCTATCTTAATGTTTGGAGCCGCATTCCACAGTACAGAGTGGTACAGGATTACAAATATCCTATAACCTTTTGCATTCCCTGGTAAAAGGTTGTTTACAAAAGGAGGCAACTTCAGTTGAGCTGAGATAAACATTATCTATCTTCTGCGCTCTCAAAACATTCTTGCTGGTTCTCCATGAACTAAAAGATCAAATGAAATGAACTATGTTAGCCTAAACTGAACCTAAATATACTGATTTTTTTCAATCAGTACACATTTTTAATAATTATCACAGTTGCTAATGCATACATTCTATATGCTGGTCCCTAATAAATATGCTGCATGCATATCCCATTTTTCTTCCATCATGGAGTTCAAGCTGGAAGAGTGGACCCTTTATAATTTTTGTAAGCGTGCAAGCACAGACTAGAGCTCTTTAGCTTTCAGCCCCTTCAACAGGGACAAGGACAGATGCGTCCTGAGCCCTGTGTACATGCATGCGGCTATCCACACCTGGACACAAAAGGACAGGGCCAGGTGGCCCATGAAGCATGGTGAGATGCCCACCACAGAGGAGGAGGAAGAATGGCTGAATGGGCCATTCTCCAGCGCCCCCAGGAAAGTCCACCATTCCTGTTGCCCACCCACCCCCTCCAGAAGGTGTGCTGGAGAGAGCCATGCCTACCAGTTGCATTTCCACCGGGACATTTCCCACAGCAAGAGAGCCAGTGTGGTGTAGTGGTTAAGAGCATGGGACTGGGACTCAGACGATCTGGGTTCTAGTCCCTGCTCAGCCACGGAGCCAACTGGGTGACTTTGGGCCAGTCACAGACTCCCAGCCCGACCTACCTCACAGGGTTGTTGTGGTGATAAGATGGAGGAGGAGATGTAAGCTGCCCTGAGCCTTTGTAGGAAAAAGGCAGGATATAAATCAATACATAAATAAAAATAAATAAACAGCCAGAAGGCTCTCTAGAGCAACTCTGTCTGCCCTATTGTACAGGGGGTCACAGGGCTGCAAGAACCAGCTGTGGGGGGCTCACAATCAGGAGCTAGAAGTTGCTGGTTTTCCTCTCCTCCTTCACCTATGACTCCATTAGGGTGACTTTCCTGAGCAAACAATCCAGGCCCCAAACCAACTCAAGACTACTCCATCTTATCCCAGCTCGGTCAGGCTGGTTTCAGTAAATGCAGGGTTTATGTATTTGTTATATTTATATCACACCTTTCATCTGAGGAGCCCATGGCAGCACACCTGGTCTTCCTCCTCCCCCACCTTGCTGTAACAACTCTGTGCAGTGGGTTCGGCTGAGAGTTGGTGATGGTCCAAGGCAAAGTGGAGACTACAAAGTAGATCTCCTAGTCCAACACTATAACCAGTACACCATACTGTCTCCAAGCACACAGGGGAATGTTAGGCTCCCAGATGAAGCATAGGACAGAAGAGCATTTCTCTATCCTGCCGCTTGGCTAGAAAAGCTTCTGGAGAAAGCCCAGGCCCAGGCCTAGGCAGACCAAGGAGAAATGCTCACCATGCAGTGCTTTGGGATGGGTCCCCCAAAGCTGGAGCCCAGGCCAAGCAGCGGGCTTGAGAAGCACACATCCACCTGGTGCCTTGGCTGGGGAGACTTTGGTAGATATGGGCTTTCCTTCGCATGCAGCAAAGGCAAATGAGGCCAGGAAACAGGGACTGCACTTGGACAGAGGTAACTTCTTGACATCATTCAGCCTCCTAACAGGCCAGGACATAACTAACCCATCAACATCATTCAGCCCACTAATATTTTGGAGAATAACTAATCCCCCAAAGTCCCCTGCCCCTATCTAGGAAGTGGCACTCCTTCAGGGTTTCATGGTCATCATCTCTAGACTTTTAATTTCTTATACTTAAGCTCTGCTGAACCTACTCTTAATGTCTTTCCTTAAAACCATTCCAGCTGACTTTCAACAATAAATTTTAACAGAATTAGAAGTGAAACATGCTCAGAGCACACATGCTATCTCCCCCTCTCTTGGGTGTGTGTTCCTCACTTCTTGCTTCTGAACCAAGCAGTCCTCTTCCCTTTGAATTCAAACTATGTTATTCTCAAAAGAAAGAAGTAGGCTATATCTGAAAAGCTGACAGTATATTTCGTATGAAAGCTGAGGCTTCTGGCCAAGGCACCCCATTTCTTACAGAAGGATGATAGCAGTGCATTCTTGATACACTTTGGAAGCTTAGGAAACAGTGCATGGAGCTGTGTTACACTGAGCCAGATCCTTGGTCCAACGAGCCAACCCTCCCTTAAGGACTGGCTTTATTTGGGAAATGCTGCCTGCACGCTTAGACATGCTTCGGCAGCTGCGCTCATATACTCACAGTCCGGCAGGGGAGTGCGATGAGCAGGGCTTTCTCAGGGGTTGCTCAAGCTCTGCAGTGCCCTCTGGTTGATTTAAGCTTTGGCACATGCCTTTAAAAATGCCTTGAAAAGCTATTTCTTCCCTTGAGACTATGAATGGCCTGGTTGATTTCTAGCCATTTTTCCTTTGGTGACTGCGCAACTAACTATCTCGCTACAGCATGTTGTATTTAAGGCCAAACCATAACATTCATAAACTTTTCATCGGAGAGCTTTGGCTGCTGGGCAGTGTAGAAATTAAATAAAATGGTGAATACGCTAGCAACAGCTCTTCCATTAGACATTACCTTGCTTACATATGCTGGTGGTTGAACCCGACACCGCCCAGGTGCCAACAGGTGCTCTGTCACTAAACCAGCATTGTCTAACCGAGTGGCCTCCGGATGTGTTTTGCTACAACTCCCAAGCCTCAGCCAGCACGGCTGGGAATTGTAGCCACAAACCTCAGGAGGGCAGCGGGTTGCAGAAAGCTGTGCTACATTCTGACTGTGCCCCAGAGGAACCGTGAGGTTTATACTTCCAGCCCACTGGCTTACCTGTGCTCTCACTGAAGGTTAAAGCCCCTTATCCAGGCACGAGCATAACATCCCAGTGCCAGGGTGAAGCTGAGAGACAGTGTGGTAGAGGGTTAGAGTGCTGGACTGGGAAAAGTCTGGGTTCTAGTCCCCACTCAGCTGTAAAACCACTGACCTTCAGCCTATCCTATTTCACAGAGTTGTTGTAAAGATAAAAGATCATATAAGCCCCCTTGGGTTCCTTACAGGAAAATGGATGGATTTTATTTATTTGGAGTAATTTTATCCCATCCTATACAAAGTATTACGTGTATTTTTTTTAAAACTCCAGTGGTTACTTATCCAGTCAGAAAGACCTCATCAAGAGATAAGTATTAACAGTCAACACTAAAATAAAACACATGTACTATCAGTTCTGGTTAAACAGAGAAACAGACCGATTAGCTATCAATAATCACCAAAATAGCATTTACTAGTAATCTCCAGCACAAAATTACTGAGCCTACAATAAGCTACCCTGGATAGTAGAACTATTAAAAAAATCACTAAAGTTAAATGGTCTCAAAACTAAGATGCGCTCTGGATCCATTTCAATAAGAAATAGTAAGAAGACTAATTTTCATCCCTTTTTAGGAAGCATTTTTCTTCATTCCATTTTCAAACTGTTTACACTCTGTGACTCTTTCATATGTTACCAAGGAATGGCCTTAAAAAAGAAGTACAAGTGACTTGCACTTCCTCTAACATGAGGATTACCAAAGGTGAGACCCATGAGTTCCGCAAGATACGTGGATTTATGGGATCTTGCTACTTCCGTATTCAGAAGGAACTAAAACAGGAAAAAAACTGCAAGTCACATGTATTCAGGACCTCACATCAAACCCATTTTATTCCCTTTAAAAATCCCTAGAGATGTTTTGATATACACATACACCCTCTGTCCCAAGAAGACTTCAGAACCCTCTGAAGTTTATGTCCCACATTACAATTCACGCTAGCTACTCTTCAGGGAAATTATTAGACTTCTTAGAGGGTTGATCCTCAAACCTGCAGTCATGATCAGAACTCAGGAGTGGGGGGAATGCAAGACTTGCTCCTCCCTTCTACAAGCCCTCCTGCATGTTCTTAACACATGATCTTGACACAACGTTGGAGGTTTTCCCTACCAAGGCCTGGCATAGGAATTGCAGCCCTATCACATCACTCACAGAGAGGAAAGCGGCAGAGCACTGGTTATAAATACCTTTGAGAACCAGCGGTTCCTTGCCTTCTCGCTTGAGAGACTCCAGCACTATGTGCAATGGCTGTGAAGGTATTACTCTGCTTGGCTCATTGGTATTCTCATCATAAACAACAATTTCTTTGGAAAAGATCCTCTTGAAAGAGTCCTTGCCTTCCCGGCAAGAGATCAAGTCCAAGACTGTGATCTTGCCCTGCTGAAGCCGTCTCCTGCTAATCTTATCAGAGCAGTTGATGTGCACTGCACCCTGAATGTGGCTTTTGTTGTACTCCATGAACGGCCGACAGTCAATGATGACAGGCCCTTGGTGGGCCTTGGTGCATTTGGTCATCTTCTTAGCCAGGTCATTGGGATAGATTATTTTTATGCTCGCCAGCTGCTTTGTCGCGCTCGAGACCGGGCTGCCCACTCCACTCGACGGACTCAGCGGGCCGGAGTTCTCATTGTTGTTGACCATCTGGTTCGCAGGGCAGGTGGCCGAGGTGCCTAGGTGGGCAGGGGTGCTGCTGGTGCTTGCTTGCGCTGGAGCCTGATTGTCCTTGTCGTACGTTGCCACAGTGCAGCAACTGGCGCTGCTGCATCCACAACTCAAGGAGCGGGCAGAGCCGTTGGATGAGGGCATATACGTGAGATGGGCAGCCTTGAGGGACACAACAGCTGAGCTAAGAAGACCCACGTGGCTCTCGCTGGCAGAAGAGGCAGATTCAAGGTAGCTGGAGTCCAAGCAAAGGTTGAGATCCTGAGGTCGGACAGGCCTTGAGAGTGCCACTACTACCCTGTCGTCTAGTGGAGATGGAGGCATGAGGAGGCTGAGAATGGCAAGCCAAAAGGAACTCAAGCTCTCTCTGTTAAAAAGGAAAATAATAATAATGATCGGGTATCTCGTGACGCACAGGGCTTCATTCTTCCACCTGGAAAGCCATGCCCTAAACACTGGGTGCCCACAGGCCTTTTTGCATAAAAGGTTAATAAAAATGGGAGACGATCTTACTCTCTGGCTACTATCATGTGGCATAGAACAGAAGGAGAACTGTAGCTGCGTGATTTTTAAACAGGTTGTAAAACCACAAGACTGAAAAGGAGACTGAAAGTCATCTGCCCCACCTTTGTGCTATGGCAGGTAGCGCTTTCCCCCACAATAAAACCAGGACCCTTATATATGTTACGGTTCTGTGGGTGTGCAGGAAAATGTGCTGTTCACTTCAGAATACTACTTTAAGAAAGTCCATTTGCATTTCTGCAAACAAAGTAACTTTGTAGCCCTTTTGCTTGCAAATACATGCTTGGGGAAGTGGATAATGCCTGCTAGAGAAGCTAGAGAAGTTACAAAATAAGCTCTTTACTGGATAAAGGGCAAAAGTCCTTTGTTTATTGCCTTAAGTAGAATGACAAGTTGCAGAAAACTACTATATAATAAGTAATGCAAAAAAGACAGGTTCTGCAAATTTTAATTTATAGCAGTTACAGAATTCAGCTTTTGGTAATTCTGATGTGCATGTACTTTTAAAGAACAGCGAACTGATCGTCCTGTCAAGACGACTAACCCAAATCATCCACATGGCAGTGGGCAAAGCAGGCAGAATGAGCAACTTCAGCAAGTAAGCCCAATTCTGCCTTGCTGTACACTGGGGGAGTTCATTGCAGAAAAGGATATACTGCTATACTTTCTGCAAATTAAGCTACCCATTGAATGTTAAATAACAAGAACTCAGGACAGCCAGATCTAGCCTGGGAGGATTTTCCAATTCTCCCCAAGCAAACTGCTTTCATAATTGGCTTCACACAGACACAAACATGCATGCACGCACACACACACAGCTTCTCAGTAAAATGAATACCTACTAAAAAGAAAGGGGACATAGGAAATGGAGTGTGTCTTGCATCCCTTATGAGCCGAAATGCTATTTTGGACCTGCATTTCAGATGCTAATAAAACTCTCATAGTGACAGCTTTGGAATATCCAAGCCTCAAGGTACCCAAACTCCTGTTCTTACAGCCTTCTCCTCATCACCCAACACCTAGAGGGAAAAGCTGAGATGATCCCCCCCACACACACACACACACAAAACAACACAAAACAAAAAACCCAGAGCTCCCTTCAACCCAGTACCACCGTTCAAGATTATATATATTCATATTATCACATTGAGTGACCAGTTACACTGGCATTTGGCATAGTCCAAATGAGGTCAGTCAGATGACACTAGGGTTTTTTTTAAGGTTATTGCATCACCGTATCTTAAGGCTGAAATCCTAAGCAGACTTCTCAAAAATCGATTTCTATTTAACTTTTTAAAAAGCTACCTTATTTTTGAGTAAGCTTGCTTGAGATCAGACCAGTCACACAAGAGAATGGCAAGCAAAAGCGAGGAATGGGGAAACTATTCCCACCAGAATGTATGGTCCCTCCATCAGAGCAGAATAATGATCTTATCCATTGATGAATATATTTTTCAAAAAGTAACTTGAACAAGCTAATTCTCATACAACTTTCTACTGCTTGTTTCTATAATCCTGCAATGACCTCTTCTCCCTTTGGGATGGCCCATTATCTCTGGACAATAAACAGAAAACAAATGCTTTTCCATAACCTATAGAGAATAGGGTGGAAAGTATTTGCAGGATAAGGCTAAATTATCACCCTAATGGGAAGAAAGGAGAAGATCACATTCACGACCTGTGTGAGAAAAAAATTCTGTGCGGGGAAAGAGATCTGAAATACAGAAAATCAGCTCTATGCAGTCCTTAGTTCTCTCTCTCCTGTATTGGAGGAACAACAAATGCATGTGCTTGAGTGCCTGTGTGTGCACGTCACACAAATGCACCACACACTCCAAGAAATGGGACGCAAAGGTGCGAAGTGCGGGCGGGGGACAGAAGTAACACCTTTTCCCCGACTGAAAGAAACCCAGAAACAAGGGGTTACTTTTGTAAGCTAGTCACGTGTGGGACCAGCAAGATTATATATCTATATTTTAAGGGCATCCTCATATCTGGAGCCCAAGTAAAATAGCCCCGATTCTTTCAGAGCCAGGACTTGGGGGAAGATCTGCATCCCTGCAGCAAAAGTAATATATTTACAGCCAAACCATGAAGGCAGACTTGCGAGGTTAAAAGATCCCAGCCACGAAGGAGAGCGACAAGAAGAGAAAAAGAAAACGAGGAGAGAAAGAACCAAAAAGAAGAACGCAGAAGCACGCTCACCCATTCAGAGCCTCTCCCGAACCCCACGGAGCAGAGAATACGTTTTACAGAGCTTCTCTCCCTTTTGGTTTGGCGGGGGAGCGTTGACACACCAGAGATGCCAGAGACTCTTCTACACTCCAGTCCCCACTCCCCACCCCCGACACTGCAGCAATCCCGAACGAGAAGAGCCTTCGCTCCGCTCCGCTCGTTCGGTCTCTTTCACTAAGACAGACCCAGGACAGCCTACGCCGGGGCGCCCGCGACATTACCCTAGTCCATCTCCTCGGTATCTCATTTCCTAGTCGCTCTTTTAAAAGGCATGCTTTCCCTAAAATTGTACCGACTACGGAAGAGTATGTCTAGCCCAAAGCCTTCCACTTACTTCATAAACGAGTATTTCCCTCCAGCATCCGGCGCTCGCCTGCGGCTATCGATTTACGCATTAAGCCCCCATTCACTTGGCTTCATTGATCTCCAACTGCAACATACTTACTTTCTCTTTTGCTACACAGTAAATGTAAGGTTCGAAAGGGGCGTGACGGCAGGAGGGATAGGCGGCGCGCTGACCCAATAGGGGCTCTCCCCTGGAAGCCGCTTGCTCTCCCTCGCGGGATTGGCGGTGGGTGAGTAAGTGGGCGGAGTCAGGGGACTGGCCTGCCGTCTCTCAAGAGCCAGTTTGTTCGAATGCTCGGTGTTATAACCAGCGGAGGGAGTGATGTCATTGGCAGCCAATCAAGAACGTCAGTGGGCCAGCCTAAGCCGGAGAGTAGCAGCTGCTGCTGCTGCTCTCTATTTACATGTAAACTTAAACAGGAGGACGTGGTTAACTCTTCCCTGCGCAGAATTGTCAATGGCGCACAATAAGTTGTCTGTCTTTCTCCGCCCATTCTTTTCTTTTAAAATCTCCCCTCCCCCCCTATTTCTACAGCATCTCTTTCTGGAGTCCTCCGCTCTCCCTTTAAGACCCACTTCTCCCCACCCACAGCTCCCCCCCCCCTTTATTTCTTCAATGAATGAATGAGTCAATGAATGAATCTCGCGTCCGCACGTTCTTCCTGCACAGCAGGCGACACACTGGAGCTGGCCGATCACGAGCGTTTGATATGGCCACCTGGTGCCGAAGGAGCCGGATTCAGCATGTGCAGTGTGTACAACTTTCGCCTCAGCCATCAATTGGGACTGCAGATCAGCAGAGCTCGCTGGTGATAATTCCCCACCACCACCTCACATTGCTTGTGGCGTTCGACATCACACCTCAGGTCTCTGATGGAGTGGACAGCAGACCACGGAAACTGGTGCGAGTCTTTAAAGGGCCACAAGCCTTTGTCGATTTTGCTGCAACAGATTGACACAGCTCTATCCTTCTGGAAAATGCCCAAATGCGATCACACGTTGTTGTTCTTTTTCCTAAAGATAGTTGCTCCTATAGTTTGAGCAAGGAAAGGCGAGAACCCAGCAGCAAATGCAAGATTAATACAGTCTATTTCCAATCAGTTAGAGCTGAATAAGGAACTAAGGATGAGCTAAATCCTGCCTTCTGGATATCCCTGTACGTTTGAATGTCCCCAGATAACCTTCACTTTCCTAGACTCCGTCAATGCTGGAATGATTGGGGGGGGGGGCGGAAGCTGCCTTAGCTGTCTGTTGACTGTGCACTAGATACTGCTTTCGCATGGGGAGGGGGGCGGACGGTATAGATTGCATTAACATCCGCTCCTCTAAATTTGAACACTGCTGACAGGTATAGTTTTCTGTTTATTCATTCTGTACCCTGTGCTTACCCCTGGTTTAGCATTCAGAGCAATTATGGAGCACCTTCTGTAAGGAGGCTTTCTAAGCATAATCCGGGTGGCCTTTTCCATGCTGGGCAAATCATTCAGCAAGTCCAGTCTCTCCATCTTAGAATCTTTTGAGGTGCTGCATGCTTTGTTTCACAGTCATTGTTGCTTTTGCTAGGGTTATGTGTGTTCTTTTGTACTTGTGGGCACAATTCTATGATAATTTGTCCTACAACCCCCAGCATGCCCCAGCCAGCAGGGAGATTCTTCTGTTAAAACATACATAAGTTGGTGCCCTAAGCTTTCTTGTTTGTTTCTTGTAAGTTTCCAAGGGAACTGTTTACTGGGCAGCATGCAAATATAATATTAAAGAACTAAGAATGGCATATTTGTCCCCCTGTAAAGCAAGAGATGCCGTTGAGGGGGGCAATATTGAGCCTCATAAGAAAGCCAGGTGGGGCTGGAGTGGAGACTTGGGAAAACCAGGTTCAAGTTTATTATTTATTTATTTATTAAAACATTTCTATGCCGCCCCTTGCCGAAGCCTCGGGGCGGCTCACAGCACAAAATAAAATACAATAAAATACAAAAATAACAATATAAAATTAACAATATAAAATAAATAACAATATAAAAGAAGTTGCCCTGGCCAGATAAATAAGCAAATATTGTTAACAATTAAAATGACGCTTAAATAAAAAGGTCTTCGCCTGGCGCCGAAAAACAAATAACGACGGCGCCAGGCAGACCTCTCTGGGGAGCGCATTCCATAGATTGGGCGCCACCGCAGAGAAAGCCCTCCTCCGAGTACCTACCCTCCTAATTTCCTTCACGGAGGGTTCCCGGAGAAGGGCCTCTCCCGATGATCTCAAGGGGCGGCCGGGCATATATGGATGTAAGCGCTCCTTCAGGTAACCAGGACCCAAGCCGTTTAGGGCTTTATAGGTCATCACCAACACCTTGAATTGGGCCCAGACTTCAATGGGGAGCCAGTGAAGCTGACGGAGGACTGGAGTCATGTGAACATAATGCCCAGTCCCCGTCAGCAGCCTGGCAGCTCTATTTTGAACCAATTGAAGTATCCGGACCGTCTTCAAGGGTAGCCCCACGTAAAGCGCGTTACAGAAGTCAAGGCGGGAAGTCACCAGCGCGTGTGTCACCGTTGCCAGGCAGTCGTACTCCAGGTAGGGGCGCAGCTGATGGATCAGCCGAAGCTGGAGGAAAGCGCTCCTCGCCACCTACTCAGCCATGAAGCTCATTGGGTGGTTTGGGGCCAGACACTCACTCTCAGCTGTGCCCACCTCACAGGGTCGTTGTTGTGAGGATAAAATGTCTTGGGTTCTTCCAAAAGGAAAAGTGGTGGGCTATAAACCCATATAGAGAGAGGAGACATGGATTTTCTTGCAGTAGATGGAGCAGACTTATTCCACTAGGGAATGGCTAGAACCAATAGGTAGGGAACCAAAGTGTAGGGAGGCAAACCTCTCATTAGAAGACATGTCTAACAGTGAGTGCTGCTTAGTAGCAGGACCAGTTGCTTTGGGAGGTGCGGGTTTTTTCTTTGCTGGAGACGTTTATGCAGAAGCTGCCTGGCCATCTGCCAAGGATGCTGTAGCTGCCACTTGCGGTACAGACCCTGCACTGAGCAGGAGTGTTGGACTGGTTGATCCTGAAGTTCCTTTGAATAGTACGATTCTGTGATTCTTTGACACACTGAAAAGAGAGATTAAAATGTAATTGTTGATCCAATGGCCCAAACTGGAATAAACAGCTCCAAATGTTTATATTCAGTTGCATCCAATTGCATCATTTCACCGGTGAAAAATTTCTACCATGCTTTTATTTTTGCACATGTGTCGGATCCAATATTTTGATTTTGCTTGTACAAGGTGTTGTGCCGGCTGTTGCAAATTACATTCTGGCATAATAGGAGGTGTTGCTTGCACCAATTGTGCTAGTTGTGCAATGCTAAAACAATACCAACTGGTATTTTTTCTGCTGGCTGGATACAAGCCAGAACTAGCTCGACTAGTGCACTTCCTGTAATGAAAATTTAAAGAGCTGTTCAATGCCTTGTGCAACCATTTTAAGAAGTGCTTGCACAGTGTCCTATGAAATGTCATGCGAGAGCTTGTGGTATGTATTGTGCAAGAATTTGTGCAGCAGCTTTAATGCAGAATTGAAATATTAGATGTGCAAAGCCACAGATAATTTGTGCAAGTGCTAAAAGCTTTGTGCTAGCAGAATGACACCTTTAAGTACAACCTAATTTCTGCCTGATTTGGTAACGTATCAAAGCCAGATATATCAGGCTAGTGGTATTAATGCAACATGTGTAATCCACTATAACTGCAGAGCATGTGACACTCCAGATGTTGATGGACCCCAACCCCTCACCTATCCATGTGCCAGAATGACAATTATCACAGACAATTTGAAACACAGGGATGATACAGTTAGGTTGCAATCCTATATTTAAGATATGCCAGCTGAAGGCTATGATGGCAGTCCCCAGTGTGAAGCCTGCAGGTACTTGATTAAAAAAAAAAAAAAAACATTTCATATGTTTTAACTATACATATATGGATTTGTATGAAATGCATGCAACTTTCTAGCAATGGGCTTCAAGAAAAACAAGTATCCAGATAATTATACATGTGAAGTTGTCAGCTCATTATGCCACTCATTCATATATCCAAAGCATTGTAAGGTTCATAATCCTTATGAGGAACAGATTCTAAAGAATATTTTGGATTGTGCAGAAATGGACAGACTGTCTCTTAAGGAAAAGGAAGATACATACTTCTATCAAACTTGGAACTTTTTCTATCGGTTAGAGAAATGGGACTATATGTAGAGCTGAAATATATAATAATTGTAATAAGAATAAGATACTAACCCAGTATGGCCGATGTCTTTGGAATAATTCTTTAATTTAAATTGGTTGAGAAAATAATAAACTTAAAACCCCAAAAGCATTGTAAGGTTCATAATTATAAGAGGTGAGTGTTTATTCTTCCACGTTGTAATATCAGTCTTCTAGGTGTCCAACAGGTGCAATGAATCTATTTCTCCTTCCATTAATTTCCATGAAGCAGGTAAATAACTTAAGAGTGACTATTAAAGACTGTTGCAGTTCAAAATTTATCAGTGCAATAAATAGGCTGGTTTTATAGTGAAACTGTACACTGCCCAAAGAACCCATGTAGAGCTATTGGTTTGGTTTATAAACTTCAGCATAAGTAAATAACCTCCAGTTAACCTCCAGAGAAGTTAACTACTGGACATTGCCAGAATGTAAGTTTAAAAGAAGAATGAGTTCTACTGTACCATTAGCATTTGGCTGAATTAGACAGTCCCTTATTAAAGAGATGCTGCAGGGTCCTATGCATGAAAATCTTCTTTTGCTAAATAAGGCACAGCCTAAGATCCATGGAAGTGACAGGAAGCTGCCAAAGCAGTGGTTCTCTGATTAGATATTTTGTGGTGGCATCAATAAAGGCTTGAGATCCCCGGGTTGCTGGCGTGGACAGGAGTCCTGCTATGCCAGTGGACCAACATATATGCCGGTGCCCCCAAAATATGCCTGCAGGACATCTGAGCCACTGGAAGAGCACAGCTAGGTGAGTCTACTGGCAAGGATACAACACTGCAGAGACGTGGGTGGCGCAGGGCAGGCACACCTGCACTGTGTGCCAGGTCCCTTTGGCCCGTAGCCTCGAGCCCACTGGAAACACAGCTTGATAGCACAGGATATTTC